TCTTTGCATTGTCTAGCAGCTGCTGGATTGATTTCTCATGGTCCCTTACAATTTTAAAGCAATTTTTCTTTTCCTGGTCACTAATTGCAATCTTTTCTTCTATATGTGAAATTCTATCCTCACATTGGTTCATTCTGCTGCGCAGACTTTCGATGGAGTTTTTAATCTCCTGGAAATCTGTTTGCATCTGTTTTCTGGATTCCATTTGTTTCCTATGTTGAGATTCCATCATGTTTCTCAGATCCTCTATTTTTTTTATCTGTGTCCTCTCTAGATTTATTAATCATGTCTTGCAGTATGGGCACAATCTTTGCTGTTATCTGAGAAATTATTTCTGATTTCATTTTTCCACATCCTCTTTTGTTGCCAGTTCAGGGAGTTCACGTAGTTGAGTATAAGAGTGTTCCATCTCGTTTCCCTTTGGGGTTGCTGTAGGTGATCTAGGAGTTTGTTTTTGAGGATTGTTTACATGTCTTCTAATTTCTACAGTGTGGGGGTTGCTGCTGGTGCCCACATGGTTCACCTCCTCTGTCCTAGGAGCAGTGGAATGGCAGTGGGAGAGTCTCCTCCTGGGCACTGGGATTGGCTCACCTCCTCTGCCCTAGGAGTGGTTGAATGGCCAGGAGCTATTTTAAATATCCACCTCATATTTATCAGCAGCCCCTTTGGGACACTCTTGGCCTCCACGGTCACTGGGCATTGTCTTTGTTTCCTGTACCCCTGAGTCTTGTTGGCAGACATTGTTTTGCAGACTGCTAGGCAGACCAGAATGCCAGTCTGCAGGTGCCCATTGGTGCATAGAGCAGCTCCCCAGCACCCTCACAGTCTTTGCCTGTGATTTCTCAACTTGTCTCTTTCTGCAGGATGTTCACTTTGAGCAGTGCCTTGGAAAAGGCTCTTCTTCAGCACTTCATACTCTATAAACTGGAGATCGCCTATGCCATAAACAAGCCATTTCCCTTCTTTGAATCTCTCCGAGACAAGTCCTTCATCACTGAGGGGACATACAGGGTGAGTCGTGTCGACCCTTCCCTTGCAGCTCAGCCCCAGGTGGGCTGGATTATTGAGACCCAAACCAACATTCACAGGGGCTTCTGGAGGGTTCCAGGACCAGCTGAGGCATGGTCATTGTCACAGGACAGGAGGTGGCTGGGAGAGTGGGTGTCATGGGTGCTATATTGATTTTAGGATGTCATGGGGGTGACCTTGGCAAATGAACACAAACCAGGTGGCTTAAAACAACAGCAATTTATTGTCTTACATTTCTGGAGGTCAGAAGGCCAAAACCAAGGTGTTGCCAGTGTTGGTTCCTTCTAGAGGCTTGGAGGAGAATCCAAACCATGCCTGTTTTAGCTTCTGGTGGCCGCTGACAATGCTCGGTGGTCTATGACTCAAAACACATCACTCCAATCTCTGTTTCCATCTCATGTTCCCTTCTGTCTTTCATGCCTTTTCCCTTTTTCTTCTCTTTTAAGGGCACTGAATTGAGGGAGAGTCATTTTCCAAATGACTCATACACACAGTTCTGCATGAATACCTGGATTGATCTCCTTCCCAGAAGGAGGTGCACTTGAGCCACTGGGGCCTCTTCCCAGTTTCTGAGAGTGCATTGTTCACAGTTCCTTCTGATGTGAGGCAGGCAGGCACTGGGAGATATAGCACCTGTTAGGTCCACTGCCAAAGCATCCTGTCCTGAGCCTTAAAGAATGACACAGTAGCATCCTTTGATTCCACTTTCATTCCTTAAAATTTCTCTCTTCCCTCAAATGTACCAAAAAGTAAGATTCACAAAACAGACTTATTTCCAAGAAGGCTAAGTGATTTATTCCCATGACTAGGCACCAAATGTATGTGAAGTAAACATGTAGGACTGTGACCACTCTACCTCAGAGGATTTCACTCTGTTTGACATTAAATTTCTCCTTAAAAAGAGTTAACTAGCTCTCTTATGACTCAGAAAATACAAATGCATTACAACTGTCCACCAAAGCATTCATACTAATCCTTTGCTCCTTTTTCAAAGGAGTCTCTGGAAGCCTGTAGAAATCTGGTCCCTACATCCAGAGTGGTGTACAATATTCTCACCAAACTGGAGAACACTTTTAACCTGTCACTTCTGATGACACTGTTCAGCCAGATTAACCTGTGTGAATATCCCAATCTGAGGATGATTCTCAGAAGCTTCATAAATGGTAAGGCAGTTGCTCAAATACCTTTTGCATATGAGAAGTTGCTACACTAAACACCTGGGTTTGCTTCCAGCATGGATTATGCTCTTCAGTCCCACTTTCCCTCATTTGCCCTCATTGTCAAGGTTGGAGAGGCAGCCCTTGCTAACTTGACCCCCATGCTCTGAGATGAATTTCTAGAAGACAGACATTTCTGTCTTACCTGTTCTAGGAATTGGAGAACAAGTGTAACATTTAATGTACTGGACAAACTAGGGGATAAGTAAGATGAGAAAAACACAAAGTTACAAAGACCAGGTCTGGGAGAAAGACAAGGAGAGTCAGAGTAGAAGAGAAAGAGATAGAACTGAAAATTTTTTTGGTAGTTAGTGCATTATCCCACACACTTTATATGATTATCTCATGTGATCTTTAAAATAACACTGTGAAGTCATTATTAGCTGTATTTGGTAGACAAGGAAATGAAACCTCAGAGGTGACTTTCCCCAAGTTCTTTGTCTACTTAGAGATGGAACTTGAAGTCCCATTTGGTTCCAACAATACTTGGGCCCAAGACTGTGACTACTCTTCTAAACAAAGCCAGCAGGAAGGCAGATTGTAAGGCTACAGGAGGGAAGAAAGGCAATAAAAAGCAAGAAAAGGAATACTGGACATAGATACAGAAAGAGAGGATAGGAGAAAAGATGGAACAAGAAGTCCACTGGGAAAGAAGAAGAGCTAGTGTGCCAGCTTTCTGTCACTACAACAAAATATCTGAGTTAATACCTTATAAAGAGAAAAGGGTTGCTAGGTTGCTTCTAGTTTTGGAGGTTCCATTCCACAACTGGTTGGCCCTGGTGCGTCAGGCATCTGGTGAGGGAGCACGTCATAGAAGTGTGTGAGCAAAGCTGCTCACTTCATGGCCAGAGTGAAAAAGGAGGAGAGACCAGAGCTGCATGATCCCCTTCAAGGGCACCCCCCCATGACCTAAAGACCTCCCGCTTGGTCCCACATCTTAAAGTTTTCACCATCTTCCTTTCATCACCCTGTGACCATGGGCTTTAAGGGAACATTCAATAGTCAAACTATAGCAGTTGCATACATAAAGAGTAGAAAAAGAAGCAGTGACAGAGGTGGGAAGAAAGAGGCCAGAGTAAGGGTCAGGCAGTAAAATCATTTTAGGTTGGAGGACAAAGCACTTTGCCCAAGGCATATGGCTCAACTCCCTGAGAATGGCAAGGAAGGAGCACCAGATATGGTTGGACTGTGACATTGTCAATGGTGGAGTCACTACCATTGATAGTGCCACATCTGCCCCCTGACACTTCCCCATCATGCAGCTTCTCCCTAAAGGATAAAATGGCTCCTTGACCTAAGGGGGCACCAAAGGGAAAAGTTCACCTCCAGGCAGGAACAGCTGCCTGAGGGCCCATTCTCCTGACAGCATCGGGATGGTGCCAGGAGAAGCATGGACTTCAAGGATACGCTAAGTTCATCTGGGAGTGAGAACAACCCATGTGCCCATTTGCCCCTGGCCTGGCTGGCTCAAGCATCTCCTAGATGTGCAACTCTGAAATTTTGTTCTGGATCCATTTTCAAAATCCATTCCTATTTCCATTCACTAGTTGAGACAACTTTGCTTCTGAAATAAATGGTGGAGAAGAATCATGGCAAAAACCCAACATAAACCATTGCAGGGGAACAGCATATGGGAAACCGAGAGCCTGGGGTATTAGGGATGGGAAAGCAAGTTGAGTATGCTGGATCATAGGGTTCCAAAAAAGGCACAGAAGCCAAATCTGCAGAATTGAGCAGAAACCAGAATATAAATGTCCTAACCCACCCTGCTAAGGAATTGCCCTTTTATCTTATTTGTTCAAGGGATATACAATATATTTAGTTATTAAAACACAGACTTCTATTAAAGTTATAGCATGTACATAATTGACTAAATTTTATGAAGCCCAAACAAGAAAATTAAATTCCTGGGTACAAAGTCAAAATCAACTTTATGTGTGAAACCACTCAGGTAACAGATTGGGATTAGATGTAGTCATTGTACCATTGAATGTTCAAATCAAATGAGTGAAATAGAATGGGGCCACAAATGGCCAGTGCTGATGGTGAGTGAGGTGGGTTCCGTGGGGAGGGACAATGAGTAACTCCACATCCCCAGCCTGGTTCAGAAATCCCCGGATCATTCAGGGTCTGCAGGTACTGATGTGTGCTCCTTCGCTCACCCCAGTCAGCACCTCCTATAGAGAGCCGAGCGGAGCCACACCAACTCCACTCAGAGCTCCTGCTGACCCAGCAGAAGGGAGCTCCCTCCAGACCCTGCTGCAGCGGCCTCCACCCCAACCACCTCCACCAAGACATCTGTGCCTCATAGTCGGTGAGACCACTGCACCCTTGCAGCAGATCCACGAGAGCCTGGACAAACCACCCAGCCCTTCTGGCCCTGCTGTGCCACTGCCTGGACTCGTCCTGGGAGAAGGGAGCACTCCAGGTGAGAAGCAGCCATGGTCCCCAGCACGCGGTGCCTGGAACCCCCGTGTCACTGACCCAGTCCTCCCACACACAGCTCTTTCCAAGATCCCGAGCCCTCATGGGAGCCCAGAGTGCCTGTGCCCCACTCCTGTGCACCCAACCTCTGTCCTTGGGTGTTGAGGCTCCACCTGCCCTGGGGATTTTGACCATTCACTCTCCCCCTTGAAACCCAGTTCCCGTAACCAGTCATGATTTCTCTTCCTCCTTCAGTGGCCAATGGCAACTTAACATCTAACACAAAGGAAGAAGATGCACGAGAGAGGCCTAGACTTCCCACTGGCACTGTGCAAGGTAATGCGGACTGGGGCTCACTTAGCTTAGCTTGAGGTGGCTACAAAGGGAGAGCCTGCACCTTCCAACTACTGCTTTGTGTTAAGAACCTCTGGGCGCAGAACTGGGTGTGGCAAAGAAAGGAGACAGAAGGGGCAATTCACCAATGCACCATGCAGAACAACCCGACCATCGAAGCCCTCTTGTGAACTGACAGGTAACCCATGCAACTTCCTCACTGAGCCCTTGTGTGGCTGCTTACCACACCTGGGGCCTTTGGCTCCCAGCCTTACTCATTCTTATAGGGATTAGATTCTAGGAGCAATATTATCGAAATTATTAGAAAAGACTATGAAATGTTTGAAGGCCTGTTAGCTTCTAAAACTGTGTCATGTGTCCTCCTGAGATCATTATTGTAAGGGAGTGTTTACATTAAAAATAACAGGGGTATGTCACTGGCCATTGTTGAAGATGGTATTGGGGATTCTGAGCTCTCCAGTACTGAGAATAAGGGTCCCCACTTGATTTCAATAATGTTTCCTCCATTCCTCTAATACACATCCTCCAAATAAGGTTATCATGATCAGGAAGCTGTCATCAATGGAAGATTCCATCCTCAAGATTTTCAGGAGAAAAAATAAACACTATATTAAATTAACAAGAGTAATGAATTAAGAGTAAATAATTTCTCATTTTCCTAGTCTATTTCACCCATGCCCAAGCCAAAGTTGGCCACCCATCATTTCTGCCAGTTGAACTAGTGTCCTCTTTTTCCCCACTTGGGTCCCCACTTTCTGGTCCTTAAGCCTGTAATTCTTTTTCTTCCTCTGCTCAGTGTCCCCCAGTAATGACCTGATCCCTCAATAAAGAAGATCTAAAGAGATGTCCTGTGCTCCTTCAAGCCCTATGCTAGGTGATCTTGATTTGAATGGCTTAAGCTTGACTTTGTTTTCATGTCTACCAAGAGGCATGGCCTTTTGGATTTTCCTGGATGGGCCTCTCCTTCCTGCTGTCCATCTCCATCTTGGCCCAGTGCCAGCTGCTCACCTGGTACTTGGGAGCTTGGACAGGCAGGAGATCTAAGCTTCTGAGCAGAGGCATAGTCTCAGGAGAGAGCAAAGAGGCAAGTCTGGAAAAAGTAGACCTGGAGGGAACCATCCATCAAGAAGGTCAGAAGCCCCACTAGTACCTGCTACAGTGGGACTCGAAATCCATAAGGTGTCTGCAAAGGGAGAATATTCGTCTGCCACAGGGATTGTGGTGGGAGCTCCAAGGGTAAAGGAGGGGACAGAGTGAACAGTGGGCTGTTTGAGTCAGCCACTTTAGTAAAGCCACTTCAATCAGGTAATGGTGAAAAGCACTCCCACAAAATGCAAAACCAACAAAGAGAAACACTGTGTGATCCAAACAGTGACAGTACAGGCATGTGGATGTCTTCCTCCCCGCCCTGCCCTAGCGCTTTCACTGCCAACTGACGTCATTTCTATGGCAGTTGGATTTTTGAGATTATCTATTAAAATTATGTGAAAAGTAAAAAGTCCAGTGCCTGCTTCAATGTCACCACTTCTCACTGCCCTCAGCTGCAGTGCCCGATTCTCTTCCTTCTAGTAAACGGATCTCTTCTAAGTGAATCTGACTGTGCCCCAGCTGTGTGCTTCACTGATAGTCACACAGGCAACAGCCACCGAGAGTTGATCCATCATGGCAGAAGCCTTAGGGTGGCAGATGCTGAGGTGTGCGCCATATGTACTTTTGGCCTGCCTAGTTTCCCACTAACTTTCTCTTCAGCCCATTCTGAGCTCTGAAATTAATTATACACAGGTACGGTTAAAAAATGTGGTGAATGTTAAATTTTTAAAAATTTATTATAGTAAAAGGGACATGGTCTTTAATCCTCCTCGAAATGCCCCCTCCCACTTCAGGCACATTTATTCATTGTTCTTGCCACTTTCTGAAGCCATTCTGGAAGTCTCCTTTTGTGAGTATCTTTAGTTGTGCTGTCATGGCTGCCTTGATACCCTGAATCAATTTAAAATGTTTACCTTTCGTGGTCACTCTGCCTTTGGGAAAGGACCAGAAATCACATGGCTGATACCAGATCTGATGAACAAGGTGGATGAGGACACACCAGAATGTTTTATGAGCCTGCCTTCCCATTGAATGGCACTAGGCAGCAGCATGTAATTTTTTTAAATCACACCTCATAAAGACACTGACAAAAGAGGACTCCAGAACTGCTTCAGAAAGTGGCAAAAATGATGGAATAAGTGTGATCAAAGTGAGGGCGAGGATTTTGAGAGGGATTCATGACAATGTGTCTTTTACTATAATTATTGTTTAAACTAAACATTCACCGTAGTTTTCAATCACACCTCCTATTTCTTTTATACGAGATACAGTGATACAAGATGCTTCTTCGGAACCCAGTGACCCAAAAGAACCCCAGGAAACACCTAGCACATCTCCAAAAAAGAAAGGTAAGGATTTCCTTTCTCCTAAAGATGTCAACAAAATGAATTCAGAGCTGCTATCTGGTTTTCTGGTCACACCTCATCATGAGCACACACCGTGTGACTATAGTCATGATAGCCAGGCCAGTTCCTTTCAGTTCTCTCTCATTATACCTTCCCAGAAGACCTCTGTGAAAATTATAAGAAGAAAGCATTTTTCCCCATCAGAATTGCCTATTCAGAAATCACCAGGCTCTGACGCCCACAACTTCTTAGATTGTTAATTGCACCAACCTACTTATTGGAAAGCTGCTTCCTTGAGAAGACCTCACTTCCTCATAAGGCACAGCCACGTATTCCCTGGCATCCGCCACTCACATCCCATCGTGGGTGCAGGTTGTATATCTACCCTTTGCTCCCTACTGTCCCATCCAGGCCGTTACTTCTCCATCCTCTCCTCTCATGGTCAACCATTCAATTCAAACTGTCCTTCCCCTCAACACTATCATCATCCAGCTTCCCTGTCACTCCCTGGCAGACCTCAAGGGTTGTTTTGTCTGTAACAAAATTCTGGATGCCTTAAGGAACACAACAGACAACCCTTTCAAAGCCCTGGCCTTTCAAGTCCGTCATCTGCTGATTCCCAGTGACTTCCTCCACAAATCCTTGGCCTCTCATCCCCAAAGGCAATCCATCGGACAAACCATCCTTCAAACCTAGCCCAATTTCCCAATAATTAATTTAAGAATTCCTTTTTTATTTACTTACTTTTTTTTGGTACCGGGGATTGAACTTGGGTCCTTGTGCTTGCACAGCAGGCATCAAAACCACTGAGCTAAATCCCCGGTAAGAATTCCTTTTTTGATAAGTATCCTCAAGGATTGCTCCTTTTACAGCTATCATTCAACTTCTGATACCTCTTCAGGCTAACCCTAAAATTTCCTTTTTTAAATATCTATTTTCTTCCTTATGGTTTGTTCTCTCTGCAGCCGTCCCTCAGCTCAGAATCACCATTCCACTGGCCGTTGGCTCTTCCGAGCCTTCATCTGCCTTTCTTCACAGCTTTCTTACTAGCTTGGATCCCAAGAGCCATTGTCTCCAACCCCTTGGCATCCTCCTAACCTGCCTTCCCTCTCCGTCTTTTCCTGGAACTCCCTGGCAGGTCTTGAAGGAAAATTCTTACCTGCTTTCTGCACACTGCATCTGAAAAGTGGGCACTACTGGGGGCCACACAGAAGGCAGAGTGCGCCTGCTGTATCTGCATGATTGTTGTGGAAATGATCCCGTCACACTGTGCCACAATTCTGCTTCCTGTGATGAGCCTTTCAAACCCTGAACTTTTTTTGGTACCGGGGATCGAACTTGGGACCTTGCGCTTGCGAGGCAGGCAGCGGAGCCACTGAGCTAAATCCCCAACCTTGAACTATTTTTAAAACCTCATCTTTATTGTTCAAGAGATGACTGTGGCTCCTGCTTCATGTTCAGGGATCAGAGCATAATCCTTCATGTCCCACTAGCAGTGCCACAAATACTACCTGGTTCGGCCTCTTCTTCCATTTCCTCTCTGGGGAAATCCTTCTACCTCACCTTGTAAGATCCATGTTCCTTTCAATCTCTCTCTCTCTCTCTCTCTCTCTCTCTCTCTCTCTCTCACACACACACACACACACACACACACACACACCCCTTCTCTCTCCCCTGCCACTTTAGAGGGCATCAGAAGAAACTCCTCCCTTATTACTCCATTACACCTAAGGTCACCGATATCTTCCTATCCACTGTGGTCTGAAAACCAAGAGTGAAAGCTGAATGCTGCTGATAAATAAGGTTGGCAGATCTGTTAGTAACCATGAAAAATTATTTATCCTTTCTTCTCAGGACAGAAAAGGAAAAGATGTATCTGGTCAAGTCCAAGAAAGAGATATAAGAGAAAAAGTCTCCCAAGAGGTAAGATGAGTGGCACAAGAGGAGGCTGGAGGCTGGACAGAGGTCGGCTGGGCTTGTTAGTGCAGGGCGTGGGGTTGGGTAGGTTTTATTTCAAGTGCAGTGGGAAGTCACTGAAGAGATCTGAGCTTAAAGTGACAGGGTTTGATTTTAAATCTTGCTGCTGTGTAGAGAATAAACTGGAGATGGGCGAGAATCTTTCTGTTAAAATAGCAGATTGCATTTCACAGGGAAATGACAGAGATGGATGGATTTTCTGTTTATATACAGGAGGGCCAGCTTTCTGCTTCCCCTATTAAAAGATGAGTTTTAGAACTTTGCTACTTTGAGATAAGATGGAAAAGGTTCTAGGTCCTCACCCTAACTTTTTAGAATTTCCAAAGACCAAAGAAACCCTAGTTGTCTTTGGGTTTTAAACCTAAAGATACCTCCAAGTTCTGGGCTTGTAGATACATAGGAGGAGATTGCTCCAGTTTTCCTGATATTTTGTGACTTAACCTAAGAACCTAGTCCTGGGATAACCATTTGGGCCTCTCAGGAGATAAGGGAAGTTTTATTCTTTTGGATCAGAGCAATTAACTAGCCCAAAACTACAAATCCAATTCTCATGATGTGTGAAGGAGTGTCTAGGAGAAGTGAAGCAAACTTTCTCTCTCTTTAAAATATACATTTCTGTGTCTCTGGGGGCTGGGGATTTTTACAGGAGTGCTGAGTAATCAGGAAAAGCTAATTTCCCCACCACATGTCAATTTGGCTCTCAGTGAAAAATTCAGTCCAAGGCTAAAAGCATGGGAATCATCAGTAAATGAAGGTATCCAGATCCATGGGAGAACAGAAGAGAAACCAGGACCTAGTCTCCTGTCAGAAATCCCAAAAGAAGAACAGTCCAGCCAGGCAGTCAGAGGGGAAGAATCCAGTGGGGAGGAAGGAGCACCAGGAGGGAAGATGTCAGTAAGCCAGGAGACACTAAGATGAGACGGGAGAAGAGGGTCACAGATTTTACTGGAAAACTTACAAGCACTTGGTGGAAAGTATATTTTAAATGCAGCCAGAGCAATTCCTCTTCACTCATTGCAGCCCAGGCAAGCCAGGCATGTCCAACCCATGGGCAACAGGTTGGACACTCCTCGTGGAGACAGAAGCAGAAGCCGATTGGAATATGTTGAATAATGAATGGATGGTGACAGCGTGTGATGACCATAGCCAAAAAGGAGAGCCGAGCAACAGGGGGCAGCCTAAGCCAATGGTTTAAAGCTCCTTTTTGCTGACTTAATTTAGCCTTACTGTGATTCCAGTGTCCAAAATCATGGGGTTAGTGCCCTTTTAGGGTACTCTGTAGAAATAATTTAGTTCTATGCCTTTTCACCAAAGGTATGAGGCCCTCCCGAGCAGGCAGGCAAGACAGTGCCATCTTCCCGTGTAGTGCCTATGCCCTCTTGGCATGGAATTCTACTCAAGGGGTTCAAATCATACTCCCTGGGCTTTGTCAACCACTCTCTTGACTTCATTTACCACCTCTACCTGATGGCTCCCAAGACTACATTTCCAAGTCAGATTTTCCTCCATGAAGCATATTAACCAGCTGCTCACTGCTTGTCTTGGTTTGCAAATCTCCCATAGGCACTGTAATCTCCATGTGTCTGAATTGTCACGACAGTGACTTGGAAGTTGGGTGGGAGTCACTTAGGACTGGGGATGGTCTAGGCAGAGGGACTCAAAAGTGCAAAGAACCCAAGGCTGGGAAAGGCCAGGGTTGCAGGATGATGATGATGATGATGATGATGATGATGATGGTGATGACGATGATGACGATGATGAAAAGAAATAGTGGAATAAAGTAGGAGCAGAGAGAGATGCTAGGTCATGTGGGGTCCACCAGGCCTTGGGATGATTTGGAATTTATTTAACTTGTGATGAGGCTCCTTATCTACACAGGCATCAAGCAAAAGCCTAAGTCTTTCTTGACTAACTGAGCTCTGTTACTTATTGACAAGTTCTATTGATTCTTTCTCCTCTTCTCTACACTAAAATCTGATGATTTAATTTCCATGTTTAAGTTTTGCTCTTTGCCATAAGCATTACATGCATGGTTCTTAATGCGATTGTCAAAGTTTTCTTGAATCCAATTTTTCCCTTCCTTCCAGCTGTATCTCTTTCCACTCAAAACTCCAGCAGACCACTCTGAACTTTCCTTAGTATGTGCTATCCTCCTTGAATGGTACATTTTTACCCTACAGTACTCTCCATAAATGTTGGCTAACTCCTTTTTATCAGTGGTGTCGGCATAAATGTCTACCACAAGAAGGAATACTCTGACCCTTGAATTAGTTAAATTGGTCTTACTACATGTTTCTATAGCACCCAGCACTGACTTTTTGGAAAATTTGCATACTCTAATGTAATTACTTATATAATATCTCTTCTAGGTTAGATGGTAACATCCAGGCACAAATGAGGCATTAGTTATTTCTTGAATAAAAAAATGAAAGAAAGCATATTTTCTCCATCCCAAATTTTGAATAACGATCTGACAAAAGATAATTTGTCTAAGCACAGTTTATTATTATGTTATGCAAAAGGGTCACAAACACCACTAACAAAATATGATGCAGTTATACATAAAAGATTATTGGAAAGGAATTTCTCAGTAGAGTAGTAGAGCCCAAATAGCCCTTTAAATTCTCACTATCCCAAGTTTAGGGCAGGTACAGATGGTCAGGGTGAGCCACGGCCAGCATCCTGGTGCTGAGATGACCACTCCCATAATGCTCTGCACATCATAAGGTGGGGGCCATGAAGCACCTACAGAACTGTGCAACAGTGGACACTCCCTGCTCAAAGAGGTGGCCTTGTTAGAAAGAGAGAGTTTCCTGGGGGCGATGCCAGATGACCAGTTCTGTTGAAGTAACCGATCTTCTGATACTTTCCTCTGCCAGGCAACAGAAAGGAGAAGGAGAAGGATGCCAGGCCCTTATAGATTTGTCTTCCTATTATGCTCAAATGAAAAAGACTGCACATGTGTTTTTAAAGCCACCACTTTACCACTTTATTTTAAATATGACAGATAATGTGTTTTTCAAATGCCCCCCCCCCCTTTAGACAGGATCCTTCCTGCTATATAGTCCAGGCCAGCCTTAAGGTTGCTATGTAGCTCAAACTGACCTTGAATTCATAATCATCCTGCCTCAGCCTCCTGAGCGCTAGATTCAGTTTCCAACATTTTTATTGTGGTAAAATACACATAAAATTTACTATCTCAATAATGTTTAAGTGTATAGCTCAATGGTATTAAATACACTTACAGTGTTTACAGCCATCACCACCATCTATCCTTATACTCTTTTCATCTTCTAAAACTGAAACTGTATACCCATGTAACAATAACTTCCCATTCTCATTACCTCCAGTCTAACAGGAACATTAAGAGTCATGCTCTTTTATATTTGATTAAGAGCCCTTATTAAAAATACTAAAACACCTTAGTGTTTCAAAATTTAGAGGCGGGGAGACAAATCATAAAGCTAAAAATAAGTATATCACATTGTCCTTTGCTTTAAAAAAAGAAAAGCAATACTCTTATTTTCTCTAAGAGATCTGATTTTCTCATTTTCTTTGAAGTCTTCTTTTTCTTATGGAGAAGAGAAATTAAGCTTCTCCAATAAAGGCAAATTTTAAGTGCTTTCAGATTAGCCAGTCTCCTTTGGATTTGTATTCAGTGACATCTGCTTTGCCAGGTCTGAGTCTCGCCTTTCCAGTGCTTAGCCACGCCTACTTCCTCCGGAAGTGGCCTCGACATCAGCATCCAGGAAAGCTCCGGGTCCACCTTCCGGGAGGAGGTGTGGCTGAGCCCTGGGGTCCTTCCTCACCTCCAGACAGATTCTTATGCTGCTAGACAGTTGTCATCCCTTTCTAAAAATCACAGCCAGTAAAAATTCTGTTCTTTTTTCTGCAATAAAGTGAACTCACCTCTGTGGCCCCTGGTGTTGCAGATACTCTCAGTGCCAGCCCTACTCTTCATGGACCCTCAGGGTGGCCACCATGAGGGCAAGGCTCTGCCCCCTAATTCTTTGACTCCTTGCACTATTCCCACTAGAGGCGCCTACAGAGGAGCCTTTCGATATCTTCCTGTCACACACAGGCCCTGAGGGAACCAGGAGAGTAATTTGTAATGCTCTTCCTCTCTACCTGAAGCTTATGTGGCTGCAGCCATCACCTCAGATGTGGCCACCACGTGGAGTTGGGTCACACAAACAGGAAGCAGGAAATAAACTCCACTGCTCTAGGAGTCCCCCAGATGTATCTGGTCTATTTCAACTAGCGGGTTCCTGGAGTGAGAGCAGATGGTGATTTGGGGGCAGAAAGAAAGGTTCACACAAGAAAAATTAGAAATGTATAGTGAAATAGAAAAAAAGGAGGTACAGAGTACAGAGATCTAAAAGGGAGAGGGCTGGACATGAGAAAGGAAGTTGCTAATGAGAGGAGAAAGAGGCTCACCCGGATCCCCAATTCAGAGTATTCACAAGTCACTGCTTGGTCCAGGGGCAGCCTCGCCTGGCCGCGGAGGCCAGGAGAAGGTCCAAGTGGTGGATCAAAGGAAAGACGACCCAGCCTGGAACTCCAGGGTAGTGAAAAGGACCCAAAGGACAAGGACAAAATGTGCCCAGACGTCCAGCTCCAAGGGTAAGGCTGAGGATCGAGTCTGCCTGTGGAAGGGATGGAGCAGGCAGAGGGGAGGCACACATGTAAGTCACTGGTGGAAGAGCGAGAAGTACAGGTGGGAGGAGCAGGACTCTGCTGGGGCGAGGTTGGTGGAAGCACAGGGTGCAGCTCACTGGGCTCTGTGGACTCTCATGACCACTCCCCAGTCGGCAAAGTCACCACACTCCCCTGAGCAAGGGCCGCTCTTTAGAACTCCCGCAGGCCCATGCTGGAAGTGGCTCCATCCCTCCCAGTGGACCACGTTCTCAGGATCATTTGGTTTTTGTTACTTGGTTATCGCTTTGTTTTTTGTTTTGAAGCCTAGGCTATGCTGTGTAGCTCAAACTGACCTTGAACATACTGTGTAGCCCAGGCTGGTCTCAAACTCATGATCCCATTGCTCAGCCTCCTGAATCCTGAGATTGTGGGTGTGTGCACCACACCCTGCTCAGGATTATTCCCTGATGGTTCATTTCTAGAAGTCTGTGTATTTTAAGTTAATACATGACAACTGTCAAATTGACCCAGTTGCTTATACTGTGTTAATCTCATATTGTCCCCTTTTCCCTACACCTTCACCAACAGTAGAAATAAAGGAAGACTCTCCTGTTTGTCAAACATAAAAGCCCAAACCCGTATTCCACTGGGCTTTCCTTGAGTTTGTGTGCTGCCTCCAGTTCAACCTGTGTGGTAGTTGTAATTGTATTACTGTTCGCCAGTGTTGCACGGCTCCAGCTTCGGGAGTGACGTAGGTGGCGGACAGAGTCATTTCCAGGCCACAACTTTAAGATCTCACACGTCTTCTTCCTCTCTGTCCCCAAACAAGCAATGCTCTGTGGTCAAGAACCATCAATGTCCACGACATAGGGCTAAGCTTCGTCTAAGGCGTGGTGATCAAATAGCACGAAGGAAAACTAAACCTTTTTTTGTCAAAAACCACCACTTGGCAAACTTTTCCAAAATGGGCCAGCCAATCAATAGTTTGGGTTTTGCTGACCATACAACCTCTATCGCAACCACTCGACTGTACCTTTACAGAGCGGAAGCAGCCAGAGTCGAATGTATAGACAAATGGACACAGCTGGGTTCCAATAAAACTTTATTGGCAGCAGGACAGTTTGGCCCCTGGGTTGTAGTTTCCTGGCTCCTATAATAAACACTGAGGCTTCTGAGGGTTGTGAATCATGGTATCATTATCTAGCCTAGCTTTGCTAACTTACCTGTTTTTTAATAAATTTGTCACTTGAATTTTTCTTTTGAAAATCATCTGTTTACATTTACCAATTTTTATGAAGAACTGGGGGTTTTTTGTTGTTTAATCATTTAGGGGAATTAACCCTGTGTTATGCCTATTGCAGTTTTTCTATCTTGTTTTTCTATGCTGTGTGTATGTGGTACTAGATATTGAACTCAGGGCCTTCACATTGAGCTACATCCCTCCCCCTTTTTCCCTTTTTTTTTTTGGTACCGGGGATTGAACTCCGGACCTTGCGCTTGCAAGGCAGGCGGTGGCACCACTGAGCTAAATCCCTGGCCCACCCCCATCCTTTTAAAAACATGTATTATTTTGAAACAGAGTCTTGCTGAGTTGTGAAGTTGCCCATGCTGGGCTCAGACTTGCCAGCCTCCCGCCTGAGCTTCCGCAGTAGCTGGGATTACAGGCCTGTGCCACACCAGGCTTGTTTTTATCTTCTAATTTACTCGAGAGGCTTTTGGTTGTGAAGGCCTTTTTTGTTACTAAAATAGACAAACTGGTTTATCTCTAGCAGTAAGGTTTATGACAGTTTCCCAATCTTGGCCCACTGGCATTTGGGGCCAGGTAATTCACTGCAAGGCCCTCGGGTGCATCGTGGGACCCTTTGCAACACCTCTGGCCACTGCTCCCTGGGTACCAGTAGCACCAGCCCCTTTCGGACAAGCAGAGATTACCAAGCCTTGCCCCGTGCCCTGGGGCAGAATCACCCAGCGTGGAGAACCAATACTCTTAAGTGAAATAAATAGGACACAGATGTGTAAATACCGAATAGTTTCTCTGGTGCGAGAAACTGAGAAAAGCTGCCTTTCTTAACACCAGTGCTAACATCTGATTCTTGAAACCAAGGCCTCTGCTGCCCTCTGCTGGAAGATTGTTGTACTAAGCCCACAGAGGGATTGTGTCTGAAGCGTGAACCCTTGCTCAGTGAGCACCTCGCACGCCCTTACACCACCGCCCTCCTGTAACAATCCAATAGGTCCATCACTTTACAGTTGGCAGAGCACCTCGCTCTGTATTTTGTCATCTACTCTTCACAATAAGCAAGAGTTAGGCCATTTTACAGACTCAGTTAAAGGGTTAAAGACTTGCATGAGCTAAAATCAACCTAGGTGGTTCCAATGCCAGGCCTGTTGCTCTTTACACTAATGAAATAAGTAAATAAGTCCAGACACCTGCTGGTCTTTCATGAGCCAACACATCCCCCTTCTATAAAATAATTGTGATCGTTGCTTCGGTTGGGAGAATGAGCGATACAGGTCCCTGCTCTTGCTGCTTCCCTGATGACTTCAGCGCCCACCCGCGCCCACCCTGTGTCCGCCCTCACCCTCACCCCAGGCCCCTCGCGTGTATCACCTGGGCAGCTCCAGCTCTATCCCTAGGCCTCTTGCCCGTCCTTCCACCCATAACCTTCACCTGCTGCTTTCCCTTATGAATCCTAGGAGTTCGTCTTCAGCTCACCAATTAGGACTTTTCCATCCCATTACTCCGTGTCTCTATCAGGCTGTTCTTCAATTTCCTCCGTTATGCTTTTCATTTCCACGAACTCTGCTCTTAAATTGCTTGCTCATATGCTTCTAGTTTGCTGCTCACACTGGATCCTTATGATCTCACTCAGTTGCTGCTGATTTCAAAGCCTTTAGAAGGGCCTGGCTGCTGTGGGAGAGTCCCAGGCAGGCCTTCCAAGGCCACAGGTTTCCAGAGGCTGAAGCCAGCTCAGTAGGACCGGAAACAGACCTGAAAGCTGCCCTTAGGGTACCATGGGGTGCTCTGGAGGTCCCCAGGCTAAAGCCCCGCCTCCCCCGGTGACCTGCCTGCAGCAGGGAGAGGAGACAGCGGTGCTTGTGCCCAGTCTCTGACTGCTGCCTTTAGCCTCGAAGCCACCAGCTGCACCTCTACCTCTTGCTAGAACACCCAGGACATCTGTGTCCCTTAGAGCTGTATTTAGCATAGGGCACTAGAGAAGATATTTTTGTTGAGCCAGAGAACTGTAGAAGGTCCCCACGGCTGTGCTCATCCCCTCAGGGTTTGCAGCCATGGTCCAGGGAGCCGCAGGTTGCCCACTCACATGGGATCACAGGAATGCACGCTTATATGGTCCATGTAGCACAGCCAGGAGGACGAGCCCACGGGGTCAGCTCCTGGGGCCAGGCCCTCACCCCTGTGCTGGATTTAGCTGGGGTCTGGGGGAGCTGGCCGACTGCTGAAGCAAAGCTCTCCATGGCCAGGGCTCCTACCTCACCCCATCCCCATGCCTCTCCGTGCTGCCAGCCCCTGGTCCTCCCAGGCTGAGCATCCTCTGGGGCCCTCTTTGGGGAACCTCACTCCCCAGAGGTCCTTCCTCTCAGTCTGACTCTGCTTCATATCTCTCCAAAGTAACGAATGGCTTATTCACCCCGAGGCTGTTTTCCAGCAAGGCTCTTGCTTGTTCATGTGTTTTCCTTCGGCTTCTTCAACAAGTGAGGCAAGAGAACACTGGGCCAGGGGCTCACCTTGACCCCCTGCAGGTGTAGCATCCTCTGTAACTCAGCATGAGTCATGAGTAGCCTTCCCTCTCACCTGAGAGAGAGCCCTGCAATAAATTCACCCACAGAGATGTCGGAGGGGAAGGGAGCAGGAATTGCTGGTATTTATTTTAGCCCCCTTTACAATTGCTTCTCCTCAATCTGAACCCAAGATCACTACTCTGAGGCTCTGAGCTGCCAAATCTCCCCATGAGCAATTGGCAGAACAATCTAGAATGCTCCAGAGTTTTCTTACAGAGGAAGAAACAAGGAAGCAATAAAAGGAAAAGTGACAGCAAACGATGAAGACTGGAACTGTTCCCTCAGTGCTGACCATCTCCCATACCCAAATCTTAGTTTGAATTAGGAAACAAGATTATCCACAAAGACTTCTCTGGTTATGTGGACACTAAGCAGTATTTCAGGGAGGCAGTTTCTGACAGCACAGAGAAAAGCAGGCTTCTGTCTAATGCTAAAGAACATTAGGTGGTGGCAAACTCACTTGCAAATTAAAGCACATTTGAAAGAAGCCCTGTATGTTCTACTGAAGCGTGTTGTCTGATGTCAGGGGGCGGTGTCGGTTTGTCCACAGGAGACTACGCTGTCTGTCACTGGACAGGGTCCCAGGAAGCCCCCCAAAGAGGAAGTGGGGACCTCAACTCACCCACCTATGGGGTAGGTTGTAGGTTTGCTGACTTCACCACAGGAAAAGAATTTTCACAATGCATCAGTGAGAGGTAGGAGGTGGTTTATTAGGCAGGATTTTAAAGTACACGCTCAGAAAGAACAGAGCAAGGGCCCTCGAGGGAGGGGCGCCTCATCGTCTGGAGCTAGGGGTATTTGTGTGATCCTGTGGCTGTCTTCACCCGGGTGACCTCAGTGTGCAGCCTGCTGTCTGTCAGGTCACCCAGGGGCAGGCTGTGTTAGAACGTGCACGATTTGCGCGTTTGCAGGTGAGATATACCGCTCACTAACACTGCTGCTTCCTTCAGGACCAAGGTTGGTGCGAGGAAGCTCAGTTTGCAGTTGAAAAGCACGGGCCCAGAACCCAGTTTACGGGATTGCTGTCTTTAAGGCCCTTCGGAGGCTTTTTGGAGTAAGTTTCCTCAAAGAGAAAGAGGCTTGAGTAATATTTGTGACCTGCAGCTGCTGTTTTTCTTAAAAGTACAATTTTAAAATAACGATTTTTTTCATCTCCTTTTGACCTGTCTTCATTGAATCTTCCTCCCTCATGTTCAAAAAATCTGACACTTGAAATGGAGAGCTCCGGGCAGGTTAACCAGAGAATCTTCCTGATATGGTTTCTATTATGATTTCTTATGATTATTATCAGAATTGCTGGAAGAAAAGCATTCAAGAGGAAGAGGAAATAGAGACTAAGTAAGGCTAAATTGTTCTCTCCTACTTTCAGAAAAAGCCAAAGAGGACACTGTGGATTTCCTCGCTCCCACACTTCCTGTGATCTGCGGTGAGGCGAAGGGGATTTTGTATAAGGAGAAGTTGGAACGAGGTGGTGAGTTCCTTGGCCTTCTGCTTTTTGAGTCCCAGGATGAGGGCACCACGAGACTAGAAGCAGGTGCTCAAATGTGTGATGCGCAGGAAAGGGACCTGCTGGCCAGGACGCAGGCAAAGCTCCTAGGAAGGACCTTTTCAATTTCCCGTGTCGTGGTGTGCCTGGGAACCAGCCCTCTCCACTCCCACACACAGCTCACGTGTGGGCCCCACCATGCTCAACACCGTGCCCTGGCTGCGTGTTGGTGTCACAGGAATTGCAGAGCCCACCCCACTCCCTCAACACTGGGGCAGGGTTAGAGCACCCTTCTCACTAGGAGCAATGGAACCCAGAGTCCCCTGCCACTGCCCAGCCTCACGGGGGTCCCTCTTGACCCAGGAAAGGGGAGCACCACAGTTAGGAGCTTGGGGGTTGAGGCGGACTGGGGGATAAGTTGTCTTTTCCTTACAGGAGCCTCAGAGAAGAGCATTCAGAATGAGAAGGGAGCTTGGGTTTCACCAAAGGAATTTACAATTGAAGGGAAAATGGAAAGATCGAAATGCTGGAGGAGGAGTGTGCGCTGCGGAGGGAAGTCCCTGAGAGAACTGATAGAGGTATCATAATGACCAGGGACAGACAGGAAGGATGGTGGCGTGCGGAGCAGGAAAGTGAAGAAATCTCCATTAGGATTCAACAGCGTGATTTAGAAATTCAGAAAGAGCCAAATGCTCATTTAAAGAAAAAAAGTCATGTGTGTCAAAAGTAGGAGCACAGATTGGTACTGTTGGTGAAGATCTTAAACACAAATAAAGTAGTGTGAGACTTTTAAATGCAGGCAAAGGGATGTGCGACCAGGGGGGATTTGAGAAGCTCAGTCTGGTGGTTTGGGGAAAGTGGATTGGAAAGAAACCACCTGAGGACAGAGAGGCCTGTGGTAGCCTCTCTGGGTGCTCCAGGGGCGCGTGCCTACGGAAGGACCCTGTGTGGGGAGATTCCAGGCCGCGGTGTCCACGGTCAGTCGCTCTTCTGCGCTCCTGTGGCCCACTGCTCCTGCCCTGAGGACCATGGTGGAGGGCCCTAGTCTTTGTGATCCCAGGACCCAGCAGAATACCTCCCGAGATCACTCAAAAAGTTATCACAGGGATGCAATGCGAAGGATTCCCTCTGGAGAGGAAGAATGGAAAGAGAAGGGAGGGGTAGGAAAGGTATAAGGGTTAAGTAACAGGGAAAACCATGTTATCGTTAAGTGAAGAAGACTGTGAGAAGGACCTGATTTTTCTTTTCCGCATCTTGGGTTTGAGTCTAGTGTGTTGATCGGGTACAGATATTTACTAGAAAGGGAGAACTTCAAATTTAACAAAAGAGGAGCTGTAGAGTAATTGCATCCATCAACCACTTCTGTTTTTCAGAATGGAATTTTGCTCTGTCCCCCAGGAAGAAATCTCAAAAGTAAGGTACCTAGCAGCTGAATTCCCACCGCCTTCTCAGTCAGCTCTCTTCCAGCCCAGGGCTCACATTTGGGCACAGCATCTTCATCAAGACTACTTTAGCAACCCACCACACGCACATGCCACTACTGTTTTCATGGTGAAGGAAACGGCTCTCTAACATGAAAGTCAGGACAAAAGCTCACGATGTCCATGTGTTCCTGAAAAAGATCTAGATATTGAGACAGCTGCAAACCAAGGGTGTCAAATAGAAAGCTCTGTTGAAAAGCAGACAGGACACTGAATGGGACAAGAAGAGTTTGTGACAGAGGGAGAGGATTGTCCTCCACTGAACACCGAGTATTTCCAATGCTCTGCGCTTATTTCCAGTAGCATCGGGAGGGAAGAGCGTGGTTGAACTGAGTTAGCTCTGTCTCGGGGAGGCCTCCAGGGAAGGTGGCAGCCATCTGTTACCACACTGACTTCTCCACTTAGCGTCTTTTCTTGCCCACACATATTCTCCAGCCTTGGGTCCCCTCTGGAGGTGAACTTCCACCAGAGGCAGATGTGCCCAGGAAACTGGCCTGGCCCTTGGCCGTGTTCATGCCCAGTGTAAGACAGTGGCCCCCTGTTAGCATTTAAGGGACAAACCATATTTTCCACATGGACTTGAGATACCTTGGAAATCAGGACAGCCCCTTGAAACATCATAATAGCTAAATATTATGGAAGAACAGAAATTTCACCAACGTTATAAAATAAACCATCTACAGAATGAGCAGAATGGGTTTGTTAAAAACATGTGTATTCATAGGTACTGCTGGGGTCTGAATGTCCCTAGCCAAACTCATGTTGAAATATAGTCTCCATTGTGAGAGTGGAAACTTAATCCCGCTGTGGTATTTGGAGGTGGGACCTTCAGGAGCTAATTGAGGTTAAATGGGTCCTGAAAGGTGGGGTCCTCACCCCAGGGAACTGCAGCTTTATAAAAAGAGGAGGAGGGCCCTGTCTGTTGCCTTGTGAGGTCTGCTCAGAACTCACCAGATGAGGCCACTCAATCTTGAATTTCCAAGCTTTTGAAACCACAGCTAAATCAACCTTAATAGATGACTCAGTCTGTGGTATACAGTTGTAGCAACAGAAAATAAACAAAGACGGGCACTTATCCAGCAGCTAAGGGGAAACCACCACAAGGAGACCTTCAAGAAGCTTATGGTGGTCAATGTGTGTGAGTAGAGCCCAGCTTGGTTTATGTGAATACTAGGTCTGTCCTGCAAAAATGTCTGAAAGAATCAACTGTGCTCCTTCTGGGTGGGATTACAGGGGCATTTGCCTTCTGTATGATATGCTTATGTACAGTTGGCATTTTATAATGACGACTACTTTTGTGACCAGAAAAAAAAAAATAAAGATCTTTCAAATCCAGAACATTAATTCACAGCCATGATACTACAGACCTTCTGAGTCTTGAAATGCCACCGGCCAGCCGCATGCAATAGCCAGGGCCCAGGGGGCGCCTCCTCTTGGTCCCACCTAGCAGAGGTCACTCTGGGCTCCTGAGAGTGAAGGTCAGTCTGAGGAAGGACAGACTGATGCAGGCCTTTCCTGAAGCCAGCTCTCCAGCACGCCGCTGCTGCCCTGCTGCCCACTCAGTCTCCACCACGTCAAGCTCTGCATGTGCACAAGACCAGAGGCCGATACTGCACGGCAGTGTTTGTGCCTGCGCTGTGGGGTGCGGCCTCTGTGACCCAAGGTATAATGGGCAGGGGCGCAGTATCAGATACCCAGGGCTGAGCCTGCGTCTCCAGGAGGGCAGCCAGCAGGCGCTGCTCCAGCTGCACATAGCGTGCGGCTGAGAACGGTGTGGGTGGTTTTTTTGCTTTTAGCAGAAGCCCACGCCCATCAGGAGTGGCCCGGAGACCCCAGAAGGCGCTGTAGAGCCACAGTGAAGGCGTCCCTAGGGCACTGATGGGAGTGCCTGCCTGCGAGGCGAGGCAGTTTGCCAAATCCTAGAGCATTTCAGTGTGGAAGTAACAGCACGAAAGGCCTGAAGCAGAATCTAAATGAGGAGTGTGCTGCTTCCAGAGCTCGGAATGCCAGAAAGGTGCTTGTGGCTGGGGCCTAAAGGGTCAATGATGACTTCTGGCCAGGCCGAACCTGACCAGGTTGCATCCGGAGCTTACTGCAGGGACGGAGGGCCTTTGTCAGATGTCGGGGGGCAATGGCCTGTGCTTTCTTGTGAGCTCCTCCCGAGGAACTGTTCACTGGATGTGCTCAGAGAGCCTCTAAACTGCTCTGGTAATCTTCTCTCTCCAAACCCAAAGGGCATAAGCTTGGGCCAGCTAATGCCACAGCTCTCCTTTTCTGTGACTGGGAAGGTGTCCTAAGCAAGTGATCCTTCGGGTCATAACTGGCATTACCCTTGGGACTCAGTTTCGTCTATGGACTCAAACCATGAAGGAGCCCCCTGGTCCCCCTCTGCCATCCAACTCCGGGTTATCCGTGTCAGTATTCCCTAGGTCTTCTTTTCTTCTAGGTCTATCACACCCGAAATCCTTTCCTGATACATTAAGTCTATAAAATAGCTTGGCTGATAAAGTGAAGGGCAGAAAGGAACAGATAAAGGAGCAGACAGAGTTCAAGGAATATTTTTAGGCAAAACATGTTAAATTACCTATTATTTTTCTGTAGGTGAACCATCCTTTTCCTCATAAACCAAGCACTTCCTCCCCCTCCAGGTCCACATTCTACTTCTTTGAGTTGTATCTTTAAATTTCTGCCTAACCATTCCTAAGCCTCTTTTAAACAAAAACAAAAGCAATATGGCTCCTTAAGCAAAATGAGTCACACCTGTTTACCATCTACATATTTTGTATTCAGTAACTCCTCTACAAGCATGAAAGATACACTGTTGATTCAGTATGTAGCAGAAGCCCAGTACGGACTGACGACCGCTGTGAAGATTTATCCATTGGTGTTTTCCACCAATAGTAAAGATAACTGAGAGCCTATTGTTACAGTTGAGGTTGAAACTGTCCCCGCAGAAGACTCATGGTGCTGCGGGTTTGGTTGCCAGTGATGGGCTTTAAGGGTGTGATTGGATTGCCAGGCACGAGCTTCATCAATGGATTCATTCACTGATGAGTTCATAATGGGCTGGTAGGAGGTGGGGCCCAGTTGGAGGACACTGGAGGTACATCCTGGAAGGATGTGTGCTGTCCCTGGCTCTTTTCCTCTCTGCCTCCTGTTTGCCGTGAGAGGAGCCACTTTTCTCCACCGTATGCTCCCCACCGCAATCTTCTGTCTTTCCGTGGGCCCGGAAGCAATGGAGCCCACCGACCATGGATTGAAACCCTGAGCCAAAATAAACTCTTCCTCCTTTAAGTTGTTTTTCTTAGGTATTTTGCATGGCAATGTAAAGCTATCGTGTTGAGGTGCAAAAGCCAATCAACATTCTTCTTCTTGTTATACAAACTCTTTTAGTAAATTTTGAATTTGCAGTTGAGTCAAATTGCAACCTTTTCTTTCCTCTTCCTGGATGCCAGGCTTTGGGGGAGAGCAGTTCACTGGGTATATGGGGTGTCAGGGGGAAGCCTCTCTGCCTGGCTCCCATTTATGCCTCTTCCTCCCAGCCTTCCTATCCATGGCCCATATACAGCACAGGGTACAAGTCTTTCCCCTGAGTGCTCCACTGAACAGTGCCAGCACTGGGTTGAGACACAACTAATGGTCACAGGAAAGGAGCCACACCCTTGAACATGGTGTCAGTCACGGCTTGTATAATCCAGACACATGGTTAACCTGAGACTCAAGTTCAGGTTGAGGCACACGACCCAGGTCCACTTTAAGAGATGGCCAGTGCCACTCTTCTGTACCCGAAGGCCAATTATAATGTCTCACTCTGGTCATTTAACTCTACTAACAGTCTGGGCAGGACTCACAGATCCTGCATGTAGCATCGCAGTTCAAAGCACAGCTCGAGGGGCCCAGTCACAGAACCAGTCAGCAAGCCAAGCAGGTTGCTATGGTCACCACCTCTGTTCCCTGCCTGCCACACCAGGTGTTGGTGCACTTCCTCCCCAGGGAGGTAGGAACAGCCACCTTCAACCCCCACCACCAAAAGCTGAGCCTGGATGTCCAAACTGATGAAGCAGCCCACACACCAAGAGGGTGTGGAGAGTTTCATCACTCACAGTGCGGCTTTCTGAACAGCAGGGCAGGCTCCCAGCAGGTCTGAAAACAGCTCCCGGATATTACTGTGGTCAGGGCCGGGGACAAGGGGAGGTGCCCCTTGCTGGAGCCAGGGCTGGCCTGCTTTGAACTGCACCCTGGAGCCCAGGAAACACATCAGTCTACTTGGCATGCCTAGATGCAGGCAGGGGAAAAAGAGGCGGGGAGGTGACTTGAGTTGTTTACAATCAGACCTAAAAACTGGAGCCACCCTCTCATTTCAGAACATGATTATCTGCTTGCTCAGGGATGCTGGGCAGGTTGTTTTGTCTCCCGTGCATTTTGGTGTAATCCCAGGCAGTCTAGCGATGAAGAAAACAGATGCCAAGACTGGGGAGCAGCTTGGTGGTAGAGCATGTGCTCAGCATGCACGAGGTCCTGTGGTCAATCCCTAGCGCCCAAGCAGCGTGAAGAAAACAGGCACTGAACTGTGTGAGTTCCTGTCCCAGCACTACCACTTCCTAGCTAGAAAGTCTTGGGCAGGTTCCCTGGCTTCTCCATCCTTCGGTTTCCTCATCTATGAAATGGGGGTGATTATGGCACCCATAACAGAGGCCTGCAGTGGTGGTCACGTGTTCATATGCAGCAGTGCTTAGAGCAGTACCTGGCAGAGTTGTCAAATGCTGTCATTATTACCTTTGAAGTAAAGGTTTATAATGAAGTCTGACTCATTAAAAGTTTATAATGGCTGTGGTTATGTCACCCTTTTGGTGACTCTGTTGCCAGATTCAAGGCTATTGTGAGGCCTTTAAAGGAAGCCATGTGTCCAGCTGTTGCGGTACATTCTTCTAATTGCAGAACTTGGCTGAAGTAGGAGGATTGCCACAAGTTCAAGGCCAGCCTGAGCTACATTGCGAGTTCAAGACAGCCTGAACTACGTGGCAAGACGCTGTCTCAAAAAGAAAGAAAAAGGGGAAGGAAGGGAGGGAGGGAGGGAGAGAGGGAGAGGGAGAGGGAGAGGGAGAAGGGGCGAAAGAGAGAGAGAGAGACAGAGAGCCATGTGGTTGGACCTGGTGAAGAAAAGACTGAGCAGGGAAATGCACCCCGTGATGGGGCCTGTGTAGGACGTCCACCTGGTTCTTTGCAACTATAGAAAGTTTTGCAAGATGAAGGCGTTTCCTGCTTCTTTCTCATGACCTCTCCTTTCTCTCCTAATTTCCAGGACAGGAGAACTTTGCGAGGATTGTATCCAGTCTCATCTTAGGGAGAATTCAAACCAGGCAAGGGTTATAGAAGAAAACTACCTTGATAGTCAAAGAGTCAGAAGGTAAATGACAAAAGGAACAAGAAGAGGAACAGAAATGCTGGTGGGGGTGTGGGGAGAGAGGAACCCTGCTCCCCTGCTGGTGGGAGTGCAGCCTGGTGCAACCACTGTGGGAGTCAGTCTGGAGACACCTCAAAGAACTAGGGCGAGAGGTCCCATTTGACCCAGCTGTTCCCCTGCTGGGGATCTTCCCCAGAGAATTAAAAGAATCATACCACAGAGATATATGTGCATCCATGTTCATAGCAGCACTGTTTGTGATAGCTAAAACTTGGAAACAGCCCAAGTGCCCATCAACTGGAGACTGGATAAAGAAGATGTGGTTTTTTTATAAAATGGAGTACTACTCAGCCATAAAGAATGAGAAACTAGAGACATTTATAAAAATGGATGCATATCGAGGCCATACTCTTAAGTGAAATAAATAGGACATACACATGTGTAAATACCGAATAGTTTCTCTAGTGTGAGAAACTGAGAGTGTAAATAAGGACTAAAATGATTAAAACAAATAATTGATAATTGAAATAGGAAGAAAAGGTCCAAAGGAGTAGGGGAAGGGGAAAAGAAAGAAGGTAAAGAAAAAATTATGAGAAAAGAAAAGAAAATGGAAACGAAATCTATGTAAATAGGGAAGGGTGGAGGGGGTGAAGGGTGCACAGGTAATGGGGAAAAAATAAGAACAAAGATTCATCATGTACAGGTACAAGCACCCAATGATGAATGTAAATGTATTATATACATAAAATGTACCAATAAAAGATTTTTTTTTAAAAAAAGAAGAAGCAGGACAGAGGAGGGCCCTTGTAAAACTGTGCCTGAAAAAGGCCACCTTCAGTTCCTGGGTAGGCAGGTCACCCCCATGAAGAACAGAAAATTGCACCCTGCACCTTGATCTGATGGGGAGAAGGAGATTTATGCTTACATCTTCCTGTGATATAGAAGTAAATGAATGAATTAAGCAACATGAAATCAGTTAAACTTCCTGGATGCTCAAGCATATTTCACATGTAAATTTCCCAGTGGGACTCAAACATCTGGAATCGCCCTCAGATGCAGTGCTGGTTTTGTCCTTCTTTACTAAGGAGAGACAACCAGTTGAGCTATCTTGCCACCAAAGGCATTTGAAACTTTAGTTATCAGGTTTATCCTGATTTTTAGTCTCATTTGTGCAAATCTTCCTGGGGAGGCATCTAAGGAAGTTTTCCATTTCCACCAGCCTCCTTCTCTTCCTCAGGGCCAAGGGTCAACACGTTCCTGGAATATAGACTGTCAAGTGGTGTCCACACTTGGACCTGGAGGGAAGAAGAGGAGCCCAAAGAGAACCTTCAGGCCAGCCACAGCCTTAGCCTTTAGAGAAGGGTCGTCCTCCTCTCACAGAGTGGACCTCCAGGAAATGCTTTGCCTTTACCTATGCTGCACAACGCTGGGGCTCTGCAGGGATCACAACCAACTCTCCAGTCCAGGCCACCTGTCAGGTCCAAGTTCACCACAATCAGGTGAGTTTCATCTTTCTCAATACAGCAGCAGTAGCAGCGGCAGCATCCTACACCCGCTCGGCCTGACTCCTGGGGCTCCTAAATAATCCAAGTGATTTGACGCATCTAATCCTCTGTCCTTATGCATCTGTTTGTTTGCTTTTTTTCTCTTTTCAGCTTCCAATTTGGGTCAAGTAGAACCTGACTTAGAGGAAGAATTTGAAAAGGATCTCAAAGCGTGTTCATAAAGCCAGTAAAGAAGTTTCCGGCTCCTCCTTAACCCCTCTCTGAATCTCAACCTCAGGATCCAGGTGGTTGGGCCCTAGGTGGGTCAGTTGTGTTATATAAGATATTGTTTTGTTATTTTTACATTATGTAAATTATGTGTCATGTCAAATGTCATAATCAAAAAGCAGAAATTAAAAATTAGTTTACACAATGACCCATATTTATGAGGACGATATTAATGTATGTCTATTTCATTCTTCCTGTCTCCTCCTGGTCTTGCCTTGCCATGTTTACTCCATATTTGTCTTCTGTCTCTTCCAGTCAACTGAAGTATCCCTTATGGGGATCGAACTCAGGACCTTGCACTTGCCAGGCAGGCACGGTGCCACTGAGCTACACCCCCAGCCTTTAAAGTCAATTTAAAATAATAATAATGGATGATATGTTTTCTGAGTCTCTGCATATCTCAGAATGTCTTATATTTTTCCATAAATTAACAACATATTTTGTTGTAATACAACTTCTAACCTTCAACTTTGACTTAAACTTGGTCCCACTAACTTTGGGCATCTTGTTCTACAATTCTGAAATCTAAGTCTAGCCAGAATTCTATTTCTTTGTTAGTGTGTAGATACTAATGAGATTTCCTCCCCCGGTAAGTAGTTATGTATTTCGTTATTTTTAGCAGGACAGGCTTCAAGATAGTATTCTTTCCATTTATCTTGCCTGGGTACACTAAGCCCTTTCAGTCCAAATACTTAATTCTTTTTACTGCTCCATTAAATCCTGCTGATACACTTCCTCTGAGCTCACTTTTGAGAACATCCATTATCCAACGCAGGCTATCTGTTCTCTGTCCTCCCTATTCATAATTTAGGGAGAAGAAGCTCCAAGAAGCACTCCTTTGCTTATCTCAGGTCATTACTATGAGTTTTAAGTACATTAGCCTAATTGCAGTTCCATGGTCAATATTTTAAACCTAATGATTTTTTAGCATTTTAATAGCGCTAATGCTATCTATTAACCAAAACTTGAGGGACATAAACTTCCCTTAACACTTTCCTCGAGACAAAAACAGAAAATTCTTGCAATTTACTCAGTTTTCCCGATCTGTCTCTGTTCATGCTTATTCTGTGCCAGTGGGTAATAACTCCCTTGCCTCCCCCATAGTGAGACAGAACCTGACCAGCAGGCCTCCCAGCAAGACATTGGAGAGGTGCGCCAGGGAAATTTCCCTTTGGGGTCACAGATTAACAAGCTGGACACGTATGGAGACGGCCTTGGCTCCTAACTCCCAGGATGTGTGCAATGGTGCACCCTGTAAAGCAGACCGGCTTCACTTAAGGTCCAGGAGAGGGCAGAGGCAGTTTGAGCACTGACTGAAGGAAAGCATATAGTAAAATGGAATCCCTTTCTTTATATGAGAGGGTGGCAAATGTGGCCAGAAAGACTGCCACTCCTGATGCCACCTCAGTGATGAACTGTGGGCCTGGAGATGACAGTTCTATCAGTAAAGGCCTCAGACTTTCAAATCCTTTTAGGATTTTAGAGAGACTTCGTGAAAGGAGCACTAAAGGTCTTCCAAGAATAACCTGCGTGCATTTTGACAAAAGACTACCTTTCCGTGCCGGCACCTGAGGGCAAGGGTGCTTGTGTTGAAGGATCTGGCACGCATTTGTGACCCTCGCTTCCATTCTGGATTGGAGGTGTGATTCATCTGTCTGTCTGTCTATGTATCTATCTGCCTGTCATCTGTTTGTGGCTCGTGATTGCTCTGTAACTGGAGGTAGGGGACACTAAAGAGTTATTTCTTTCAAGTTGAATGTCTCAGGCTTTCACTGTTCAGTTGCCCTGCCAGCCAAGGTTCCCATCCCTGCCTTCCTGATGCTGCCCCTCTCCCTGGTTTTCCAGCTCCTTCTACCTGGGAAAGCAAGGTAGGGCTTTTTCTGCTTACCTCAGCTGACCCTTACCCTCCCCCAGCTCCTCTGAGCTGCAGGCTCATGCCTTGCCTTCCCCTCATCTCCCCGTGCAGAGGCACTGGACAATGCCAGCTGCTTCTCCCAGGGACCACTCTAGGGCCACATCCAGGCTGTGTCCCCCATGCTGCTCCCGCTGGCTTCCATTCCCACGTCCTCCACTGGCTAGGGCTGGGGGCTCACCTCACCTCAGGACACCGCCTTCTCCCAGCCTTTAGAGGACTCTACAGTGGCTCGCCGAAGCCGGACAGAGCCAAGGCTGTGAAAACAGAAGGAAGAAAAACTTTATCGGGAGCAACTGGAGGAAATCTGTGTATGTCAGGAGCTTGGGAAGGTGCTGTCTCAAGGCGAGCACAGCTGCCCTGGGGAGAGGTGGAGACAGTGGCAAATTAGCAGTATGGGTTTCTCAGATGCTCCGAGCTCCTGCACAGCCAGAGAGCCGGTCACATCCTGCAGATAGTTGTGGGAGTCTGCATTGGAACGGGAGCCAAGTTGGCCTGACAGATACCTTGGGCTCTCCTCTTCCCTCCCCAGAGCCCTGGAGACTCCTACTGGCTTCTTTCCTCCCAAAGCTGCTGCCCCTCCACCCCATGGAACTGCTCCCCTCCTGAAATTGGGTGTGTGAGCTGCAGAAGCCTCAGCTCTTCCCTCTGTCATTGTGCCTCCAAAATGAAAAGCCCAACCTGCTCATTTTACCACCCAAATCACTGTGACGCTCGAAGTGAAGTGAATCCAAGAAGCCATAGATTTCTCTAGTCTCACACAGGCCATTTACATCTCCAAAGCCCAGCAGAAAAAGCAACGCCACCCAGTGAAGTCCCTCTAGCACAGGACTCCCTTGAGCAGTGTGCCAGCAAGTGTCCCCATTGGACGAGACTGGAGCTGGATGTATTGGCTCTGGGACACCCTTTCCCCATCAGCAGCCACTGGCATCTGCTTACTTACAGAGGGGTAGGGTGGAGCCCTTCCGGGAACCAGCTCCTCCATCACAGGTGTGGCCAGGAAGCAGTTTCCAGAAGACAGTCCAGGGGCCTCAGGCAAGAACTCAGCAGTGGGGACATCGGCCAGACTTGGAGACTGGCCACGAGTATCATTAGCATGAAGGGGTGGCTCCATATTCAGGAAGACAGCTGATTCCAGAGCCGTTTGACCAGCCATTCTGGACTGGACTGCTTGTTGGATGTGGAGTGAAGACCTGAACTCATTCAGTGCTGTACTGTCTAGCAGACAAGGCAGAAATGGCATTTTTCACAAAGGCAACAGTGAAGTTTCCCGCCTTCAGACAGCAGTGGCTGTCCGGGTTCCACCACCTGCAGACAGACACCCAGGAGCTGTGGCTGCAGCATTCAGACTCAGGGCCACAAGGGTGTTCAGCTGTCAAGGCCTGGACCAAGGGGAACTGACTCCGCTGGCCCCATGACTAGGCTCAGAACTGAATGAGGGCCATGACTGTGCCCTACAGGGGAGGCTGCTAATGCCCGCCCTTTCTGCCCTCAAGCAGGCGGGCTCTGGAAGCCAGGGAAAGGTGGGCAGACAAGTTAATGCTCAATGAGGTATGATTAAAAAAATTTGGTGAATTTAAAAATTTTTTAATGTATCACAATAAAAGATATATTGCCATTAATCCCTTCAAAGTATTCTCTCTCACTTCAAATACTTGTCCCATTGTCCTTTCCATTTTCTGAAACCATTCTGGAAGTCCTCTTTCATGAGTGTCTGCCTTGAATTGACATTTATATTTTGTTTTGATTTGGGGGAAGAGCCAGAAGTCACGTGGTGACAGATTCAGTGAATAAGGTGGATGAGGAAGCACCATGTTTTTATAGACCTGCGCTTTAGTTGAATGGTGCTCAGCAGCAGCATTCAGTTTTTTGTATCACACCTCATACAGACACTCAGGAAAGAGGACTTCCAGAACTGCTTCAGAAAGTGGCAAGGATAAGGCATAAGTGTGTTTGAAGTGAAGAGTGTTTTGAGGAAGATTAATGACAATGTTTCTTTTACAGTAATTTTTTAAATTTAAACACAGATTGGGTTTTTGATCAGCTCTTGTACATTTGTACTCACCACCGGGAAAACTGGCAATGCCCAGTGCCTACTAATATCCTGTGGGGAGAGGTATTACATCCTCCTAGGAATGCAGAAGGACTGGTCCAAGCAGAGGACAGCAAGTGAGGCAGGGGAGGCAAGCTATTTCTTGCCATCTTCCAGTTTACCTGTTTTCCTGAAAAGCCTACAGATCAGATCTGGATATTTCTGTATCTGGACCATACTGTTTATGTTCATAACCAGTGCCTAATATCAACAATATCTCAGCTTCTTGTTCTTCCAAATAGTTTACTCTCAACTTCCAGGCTTGGTTCAGGGTTCTCTGGAGTTAGGCAAAGCAAATCACCTAGAAGAGGTTTTCCTATTCTCCCAGGACAGGCACAGAATCTAGTTCTGGAAGGAGGAGGCACCCTGGATGTCCTGAAAACCTGTACAGAGCTTCCCTGCCACCAGAGGGCAGTGTGAACTCCTCCAGAGGCAGGAACTGGGTATTAAAATCCCCACAGGAAATGGGAACTAGGAAAAGGGATGAATGAAGCCTTTTAGGAGGGCAGAGATCCACTCATGACTCTGTCACAGAGCATCCAGAAACAGGAGAGCTGGCCAAGAACGTGGGGCAGATCCTCCCGAGATTAGACTGACCAAGAACAATGAACAGAACAGTCCAGGTTAGGCATGTGCTCGTTAGATTTCCCCACTGTGACAAACAGTGCTTTGGCTCTTTGTCACACGTTTAAAATCTCACAGCTGGCACAATAAAACAGCCAAGATGCACTCAGTGACCTGGCTGGGAACTCATTCCTTTGAACAGGCTGGGATGTGGTAGTCGGTCGGCCCAGCCCGGAGAAGGCTGGCAGCTGGCTCAGACCATATCCCCAAATTCCCCAGGTGACTTGCTCTTGGGGGAGCCAGAGTACAAGGTTGGGACAAGGAAGCCACACTATTGGAGGGGCCTTGGGGAACAGAATAGCAAATATAACCAAGAAGGATGTCCAGGAAGGCTGGACATCCAACCAATTCCCAACAAGTTGCCCACACATCATTGCTTCTGAATGGCCAGAGAGCTTGTTAAAATGCAGATTCTGGGAGCCCCTGCCCTGGATGAGAATCCCTACAATCCATGCACAGGGGCTTACTGTCTTTGCAAGTGGAACAACTTTTCTAGGTGACCCTCTCTTGCCACAAATAAGTTAGACGTTCACAGCCCTAAGATGAGAGTGATCTTTCATCTGAAAAACTTTTGACAAACAAATTTAACTAACACTCCCAGGATGCTGGTAACAGTGGCGCCTTCAATTTAATGGCAAGAGCTGCCCCCAACCCAGGGAGGTGACACAGCCTGGCATTTCCTATTTGATTGATTTGATTTGTTCATTTTAATATTTTGTCATTTTTCAACATTTATAATATAGCCAGCTTTCAGGCACAATAATAAAAATAGAATGTGAAGCCATCTGAGAAAGAAAGAACCAAACCAAGAAGGGGAAGGAGTCAAAGGGAAGGGGAAGGAGGGACAAGCAAAAAGACAGCAGAGAAGGCAGAATTTGGAGGTGGAGGGCACAGGCTGGGCACTGTTGAT